GTTTTTTTAATTATAAGTTTTCGGGTCAACTTATGTACATGGATTAATTCTTTGGGTGATTACGAATGATCTGAAGTAATCGTAGATGAACTGTTATGACCACAAGGGCTTTGGCTATGTCTGGATTTGAACCCGAATGGATGAGATATTCCTCTACACCCTCTGAGGATTAACAGGTGCGCCAATTATTTTTTTCAAAAAAAATATCTTACAATTTCTAGATGTTGCGACTTTAGTTCGTTAAATACTGGTGGTACCTCTTTTGAAAAACTATAACAACGCATAGATACCCTGACTTAGATCATAATTGTTACACTGAACTATATATTGGTCCATGTGGTTTATCGAAAATAATATTTTTCATCAGCACAATTTTGAAATTTGTAATTTACTCTTATTTTTTATTTGGAAGTGTGTTATTTGACAATAAAACACATATTGAACCATTGAACATAGTATTAAAAATTCAGTTAATTAACCACAAGGGTGGTGCCTGATTGGTTTGAGCTTGACTCCAAAGGTTAAAAGTACCAGGATGGCTCAGGTTCAAATCTAAGGAGGAATAAAAAACCCCCTTGTGGCCACAGAGGTTTAAATACGGTGACTCTGAGCTATTTGCAAAGCAGGTGGTCGTCCTGGGATTTGTCGGCTCGCGTAGCGGGTTAGATATCCAGGTTAATAAAAAAATCAGTTAATTAAATGTTTTTCTTTTCAAATTCAATTAACCAATTAAGCCATACACTTGGGACCAATATCTCAATATCAACTTTTTCTAAAGCTTTGAATGAAACTTCATATCCGTAACACACGAACGATGTGACTATAAAGTCATTAAAAACTTGATTGAAGAACCAACATTTATTGAAGTAGCTATAGAGTCGATTACAATTGTTAGAGTTCCAAAACTAACCCTACATAATATTCATATTATCTTGTGGGGTTAGAATTCAGAAACTAACTTGTGGTGTTCGAGTTTAAAAACCATCTTTTGGTAGGAATGACAAAAAAAACTTAAATCGATGGTGAAAACAGAAAGCCGGAATTTTTGAGCCGGGTTCAGGGACTTCTTATCAAGGAAGGGGGGGATCCGGGACATATTTGGGGATTTTATTGGGGACGGAGACCGAGGCGGAGATTGTGATCACCGGCCTGACCCGACCCGATGTTTGTGTGTGTATATATATATATATATCTTCAAAAGGAAACACTAGCATTAAAATTTAAAAAGGTTTTTATTCACTTTAACTCAACAACCAAATAAGTGTCACGAAAAAAATCTAGTTTATTTGTCTAACCGTAAAATCGTGAAGTTAGGTAGATGCTATTTGAATTTCTATTTATTTTTATATTGTAATTTAAGAAATTGTTTATTATTGGTTTGATTACGTTTGAGACATTTAGATTTGCATGTTAAAAAATGTAATTTACTTTAGGTTATGAAAATTAACATCTTGTAATTTTTTTCACGCCATTTTTTGTTTCACTTTCGGGTATAACCAACAATGAATGAGGAAACCAACGGGAAAATGAGATATTTTCCCTTAAAGGGTTACCCAACTGGGTTCAAGGAAACTGCAGGGGGACCGATGAGGATCCCCGATAAGATCCTCGACGGAGATCATAGTAGTTATAGAGATGGTTTTAGTTATTCGTTTCGGGGATGGGGATATCAATAACTGGCCGAAACCCGACTTATTGCCATTCCTACCTTGTGGGGTTAATCAGCTCAACTGATGATAAAGTTTAGGTCTTTGGAGACCCTCTCCAAAAATCATCAGTTCAAGTCCTACAAGAACGTTAAGAATTTTTCTGATTATTATCTAACTGACTATAATTAATATAATATAACTAATTGGTATTGATTTAATTAAGACGTTGATATACAACTGAGTTGGTTTGGTTTCGTTAATACACCCCTATATAATACCTTAGTTGCCTACCAACTTTTAGTTTTGTTTTATTAAAGAGGCTTTTTTCACACCGTATTAATTAATATAACTTAATTTATTCTTTATCCAAAAAATTAATTTTATTTTATCGCAACGCGTTTAGCATTGCGTGCAGGGGCGGAACACGACTGTTGTAGTCCGGGGGGCCGAATTAAGAACATCTTCAATAGATTTTTTAAAATTGAGAAAATAAAGATTTTAGACATATTTTTGCTCCAACAGCATCTCCAAAACTCTCCAAAATGGAGAAAACATGAGAGAGTGTAAACCAAAAATGATTATAACAAGAGAGAAACATTTTTTAGCATATTCACACCGATAGGAATCCTTGATATTAATGGTTTATGATAGAGAAATAATATTTTTATTAGAGTTTTAATTCTCCATGAGGAATATGCTGGACATGCTATAATACTGTAAAATTTTATAAATCCAAATGATTCGTTTTTAGACTATTAAATTTTAAAAAAAAAGTTTGATTAATGTAAGATTAAAACTCGAAACATTCAAAGTATTAACGGAAAATTAGTAATATCAACTTAAACATTATTTATATATAATTAATACATTATATAATTTACTCCAAAAACTTAAACATTCAAAGCATTAACAAAAAAAATAGTAATACCAGTGTAATTTACTCTACAAACTTATGTCATGGAGTCCGATTATATCACTCTTGTATTTTCATCTAAACTCATGCAGTAACAAATGTTTATTTAATCGACGAATTACTTTTTATCGCGGTTGTTATTAATATTTTATTAATTTTATAATTATGAAGACTTTGTTTGATCGTTATATCATCAAAACTTCATTTCAATATATTTTATAATCATAATATTTAAGTATAAAATTATCATTTTAAAACTCTAAGGGGCCGTTTACCTAAATGCTTACCCGGTAAACGTTTATCTTAAGAGTCAACACTATTATTTATTTTATCGGGTAAGATTGTAGTACATCAAAACGTATCTTATGCAACAATTTTACCTGGTAAGCGCTTACCCAGATAAGAGTCGTCACCCTCACTTACGGGGTAAAACTTTCCATTCTTATCATCGCTCTTACCGGGTAAGATTTTTGCCCTTTGYCATGTTCAGYTGGTAAGAAAAATTGTCCAGTAAGTACTCACCGGGTAAGCGTTTAGTAAACGRCCCCTAARTCTCYTTAACAATTGTTTCACAATAAAATATTTAGTTCTAACTATAGAAACCAACAATTTTTAGCCTAATTAAAATGAAAAATAAACAATATTTAGCTTGACAAACAATGAAGAGATCAAGTTATTATTTAAATAAAACATTTGCTAGACTTGATATGTATTATTTTAATGGTAAATAAATGGGGAGGCCAAAATAAAATTTCAATTATTTTATAATTAAATTTTCAATCTATTGTAGGATGGAGATGCAAAGGCACAGGGGCCATGGCCCCCCTATGCCCCTTAAGCCATCCGCCACTGATTGCGTGCGTACCTTCAATTTCCAACATGTAACGAGGTCAACTTAATTATGTATACATAACACATATACATACATCTATACATATTATAAAGATACTTGTACAATCTAATAAGATATATCTTAATTTTAGTGTTTATTTTTTTTAGTCGATATTATAGTACGGTTTTATGTGGTTTTGAGAAAACGATAATATTTTTATTTTTGAATAAACTATAAATATGAAGATATTATAAAAAATAAAAAAAATATTGATATTAGTATCAAACTAACTATTTAAAAATTTTCATTTTTTGTGTATTTCTTTAATTCATTTTTTTATTTTTGGTTTAATAATATAACTTTTTATAAATATAGTAATTAAATATTTTGTTAGAAGTCTATAATTATTCTAATTATATTTTAGTTTTTTTATATTTAAAATGAAATGTTTATTCTCTATTTGATTATGTTTATCTGAAGTTAGTTATACAAATTCAAAAATGAAACTTTAATAAGTTGTACTTACGCACAAGTTACTTGTAATCTTGAATTTTAAGTAATATGCATCAATATACAGTACTTCATGTATAAAAAATGGTTTTTAAGAGTTTTTATCAAATACTTTATAATATAAAATTATAAAGGATGTTAAATATCTGAATATTAGTGAAAGTTCAAACGAGAATATCTTTATCACATGTGATAATATACATGAGAGGATCTGGTGGTGTGCAGACAACTTGAATCGCGCGAAAGGTCTTCCGCACCTGTAATTTAATATCACATGTGATTGACTGTAATAAAAGACCGTTCTTGCATTCTCGTAAAATGAAAATGTTCCTGTTTAAACGCTTCTCTCTAGAAAAAGAATGGGTAATCGTAGGTCTTCCAAACTAGCTTACATTTTTTCCGTCTGAATATTTTTTCAAAGTTGAAATAAATAGATCTTGTAAATCTAAATAAGAATCGGCTTATTCTTAATGACGACAACCAATAGACAAAAAGTTGTAACTTGTAAATTTAACACGGTTTTTAAATAACTCTGATAATTTAGAATATAAAACACAATTTCGTATTTCGAAATCAATATCATTTTGGTCAATCTCGTATATGTTTCGAAAGGTCAATCCAATCGACTTTCAGAACCGTTTTTTAATCTAATTTAAACCTGAAAATACCATTTTGACTCGGGGTTCAATTTCTTTTAGTCAAACAAACATAATAAAGTGCTCGAGTCGATTCTTGTAGTTCGTCAAAGATGGTAAACGATGGCATACAAAATAGAAAAAACGAAACCCTAACCTATATATAATCACATTAAACCTCTTAGGGTTATATTCGTTTAAAGTTGTAGCCGTTAATTTAATGTACAACTTTTAATGCATGATGTATAAATTTGATATTTTAATTTAAAAAAAGAATAATTGGTTGGAGAAAAGGAATAAAAATAAAAAACTACTTAGAATTTAAAATAGAAAATTGGTGTGTTGTTGCCTCCCTCTATGTTGAAATTCACTTTCTATAAAAGGCAACCAATTGAATGCATGAATCCCACAACCAACATAACCTGCAAAGCAAAATCCCTTCATTCTTTCATCTTTCTACAATGAAAACCTTTCTACTTTTAGCAATTCTTGTGGTGGGTGTTCTTCTTTCTCTTTCTCCTGGTGTCTATGGCTACACGAAGTCCGAGATCACGTCGTGGTGCAACCAAACGCCCCATCCGGAACCCTGTGAGCAGTTCTTGAGCCCTAACTCGAACTATGGTCCCATCAAACAGAAACCCGATTTCGTGAAAGCTTTACTGAAAGTCACGTTAGAACGTGCAAAACATGCAGGGTCGCACACGCTGACGCTCGGCCCAAAATGCCGTAACGAGCGTGAGAAGGCTGCATGGTCCGATTGTTTGGAGCTGTATGAAAACACTATTGATAGGATCAGCAAAACCGTTGATCCCACCAAGTGTAGCCAGGTTGACATGCAAACCTGGCTTAGTTCAGCCCTCACGAATATCGAGACGTGTAGGGCTGGGTTTGAGGAGTTGGGTGTTAGCGACTACATATGGCCACTGATGAACAATAACGTTTCATCTTTGATTAGCAATACGTTAGCAATGAATAAAGCACAAAATTCATCGTATAGCGTCCCAAAGGATAAAAAATCAGGGTTTCCTGCTTGGGTGAAGCCAGGTGACCGGAAACTACTGCAATCATCGTCACCTCAAGCAAACATAGTGGTGGCTCAGGATGGCTCAGGTAACTACAAGACCATTGGGGCCGCCATAGCTGCGGCCGCAAAGAGGTCAGGGAGCGGGAGGTACGTGATACGTGTGAAGGCAGGTGTTTACAAGGAAAACATCGAAATCGGTTCAAAATTAAAGAACATAATGCTACTAGGAGATGGCATTGGGAAAACTATTATCACTGGTAGCAAAAGTGTTGGAGGAGGCACCACCACCTTCAAATCAGCCACTCTTGGTAAGCCAAACACAAGGTTTATTCAAAAGTTTCTTTAAAAATCTCATTTGTGACGGCTTTGTCCCGTTGCTAAAATCCGACTAGCATCAACGTCGTCGGGAAAACTGTGTTGCGGGATCATTTCTCGTCACTAAAAGTTTAAATTTTTTACTGCGGGATTCGTTAAAAAATCAAAAATCTTTGCTAACATTTTCGTTGATAATATTTGCCGTCGGTTAAAAGCATCGCAAAATGGATAATATTTGTAGAAATAAATTGAAATCAATCAATTGTGACGGTTATTGTTATAAGCGACAGTTTAATCTGTCGCTAAAGCTGGTGTAACATTTTCAGTCCAACAAGTAATAAAATATTGTAATTTTTGAAATGAATTTCAGCGGTGGTTGGAGACGGATTTATCGGCCGTGGCATCACCGTTAGAAACACCGCGGGCCCACAAAACCACCAGGCCGTGGCGGTCCGTAGCGGCTCCGATCTGTCGGTATTCTACCAATGCAGCTTCGAAGGGTACCAAGACACATTATACGTCCACTCCGATCGACAATTTTACCGAGAATGCGATGTTTACGGGACCGTCGATTTCATTTTCGGCAACGCTGCCGTGGTTTTCCAAAACTGCAACATTTACGCCCGTAAACCGCCAAACAAGACCAACACGTTGACCGCTCAGGGGCGCACCGACCCAAACCAGAACACCGGAATTTCAATCCACAACTGCCGTGTCACAGCGGCCTCCGACCTAAAAGGTGTCACCGGCGTTAAAACGTACCTCGGGAGACCATGGAAGCAATACTCGAGAACGGTTTTCCTTAAAACGAGCCTCGATAGTTTGATCGATCCCGCCGGATGGATGCCCTGGAGCGGCAATTTCGCGTTAAGTACGTTGTATTACGGCGAGTATATGAACACCGGTGGTGGTTCATCAACGGCGAAAAGGGTTAATTGGAAAGGTTACCATGTGATCACTAGTAGCATCGAGGCGGCGAAGTTCACCGTCGGGAACTTTATCTCCGGCGGCTCGTGGTTGCCGGCAACCAATGTGCCATTCACTTCTGGTCTGTAATTCAAATGTTCATATGTTGTAATTTATTTTTTTATTCTGTGAAATTTCTTGGATTATGGAATGAATATTTGAATATATTTTGGTTTTAGTCACCCATATAATACTAATTTTTAAATTCAATTCGTAAAATGTTGGGTTAAATACACACACACATAATTAGATCCGTAGCTAAATCCGTTGCTGATAGCCCGTTGGCAAACTAGCGGGTAATACTATCAGCGACGGTTTCTATCAAAGATGAACCTTTATCAGTGACGAATTAGCGATGTAAGCAGTCAACAAATGATTAGTCACGGATTTACAATGGAAAAACAAATTTTTTAAGCGACGGCAGAAGTCGTTGATTTTTAAAAATTTAAAGAAAAATAAATTAAAATTACAGATTTCTTGTGTTTTCTATACAAAAATAACGAACCAAGACTGTTAAACAAATCAAAAATAACATTTAATACAATTTAAAATATCAAATTCATACAATCTAATATTCGAAAGTTAATTAAATAACAATCTAAGGGGTTGTTTGTTTACCTCTAAATAGTTTCATTAAGAGATGAATCTTATTTGGCAAAAAAAAAAGTCTGTCTCTTAATGGTTTTAAAACTCTCTGAATGATTTTGTATCCTGGATACCCCTTAACCATTAAGAGTCCTAATTTCATTGTACACAATTACCAAACAATTATATTTCATTTTGCATTATATCATGAGAGCCTCTTAATCATTCTGACCACTTAACCATTCTGTACAACCATTCAGCAATTACCAAACAACCACTAACTACCGGAAGGACCAGGAGACCCGGGAGGGCCAAGAAGTAAGGAAGAGGAGAAAACGTATCATAAAATTAAACCACAATAATTCAGTAATAAGAAAGTTTGGCTAATATGTCCTTGGTATGATTGGGTCAATATTACTTATTAAATTGAAACTACAATAATTTATTGACGATTTTTATAATCTAGTAACTAGGGTTGGATTTATGTGAGATCAACCTGTTTTCGTAAAACCTGTGAGATTATTATTTTACACTTGAAACTTCACAGCAAAATATTGTGAAGGTTAAAAAAAAAGCCGAACTTTCACAGCAAAAACACTGTGAAGATTACTATCATAATGTTTCGCTCTGAAGTTTCAAGTGTAAAAAAATAATCTCACGGGTCTCTCGAAAACATGTTGGTCTCACGTGATTCAAAGTCTTAGTAACTATATATTAATAAGAAAACTTATACTACAAGTTGCGGCTAATATATATCATTAATTTTATGCGATCTTGAAATTTAGAGTTAGGGGCCGTTTACCAAACACTTACCTGATAAGCATCTAGCAGCAAAATTCAACACTATCATTTACTTACCGGATAAGATTTTAGTCAACAAAAAACGGCTTTCTATGCAACAAATTATCCGGTAAGAGCTAACCGTGGTAAGAGTCATTGCCCTCACTTACCGGGTAAGACTCTAGGTTCTTATCTCGCTCTTACCGGGTAAGATTCATAGTTCTTTCCATATTCATCCGATAAGGTAATGTAACTTGGTAAGCGCTGACCCAAGTAAGCAATCGATAAACGACCCCTTACATAACCCTTGATCAATATCCCTAACAACATCTTTACTTATCAACTTGTTTAGAAATTTATAATTTTTTTACATTTTTTATAAATATTATATTCTTTAATAACGAACTGGTCCATAACCTAAATTACAGTTTTTTCTTATTATTTAATTGGATTGGATCCCACTGTCTTGATCAAGAACGTGTTCACATTTATGAACCTTTTTCCCTTCGACGTTAAGTTGGCATGTACTGCTTACTTCAATGGTGTAAAAATTTATGAACTCGTCAACTAGGTTTAATAACCTTCAACTGGAGATGCTCTAAGGACTTGAACTCGTGATATTTATTTAGCAAACCCAATGTCTTAACAGTTAAGCTGTATCTTAAAATTGGTGTCAGTTATGTTACCAAACGATAAACTCTAAACGTCACAACAGCTATCGGAAAACGTACATACCAAAATTTTGAACTCATTTAAACCTTTGGTTTCTATATTATTTTCAACAACCGTCATAACGGGATCGTTGCTGATTTCTTTAATTTAATTTACTCGGTTATATTTTTGAAAAGTTACTTTAATTTTTAACTTTAATGTATGACTAATTACTAGTTGTGTACTCGCGCAATGCGGCGGGAGCCGTGAATTTTAACGATTTTGAAGTTTCACTGGTTTTATTAGAGAAGATTTAACGATGATATAAGTTACACTTGGTCTTTACATATTAATACAATTTGAATAAATAAGAGTTTTGGTTCCAATTACAATCTATCGATGAAAACATTTGTATGACAATTTAAAATCTAATATATTTAAAATCCAACATATTTAAACGACTTCACAAATATGTTCGATTTACACCAAGAGCAAAGAATCAAGAGATCGAAACCGAGAGTTCTAGAACAATTGAATGTGAGATGAATGAGATAACTTTTAATAACTCATGATGAATATCAGTTTGAATCTCAAATTGAGGGATGAGAGAAGACATAGAGGTATGAAAGGGTGAAGACATGAGTGATATGTGTCAAAAGTATCTTAGAAACATAAAAAGAAAAGGTAACAATGTGCATTGGTAACTTGCACACTATGTTATTTTAATTGTATATTAAGAGATTTTAAGATTGAATGCATAAAGTAGTAGTACTTAATGCATTATGAGTTGTTTTTAAGACTTTTAAAACTTTGTGCATAAATGTATAGTACTTTGTACATTAAAAATTGTTTTTAAAACTTTTGATAAATCTAATTTATAAGATAGTATATATGCATATCAACCGTCACGTATGTTGAATAATTAGATGTCTACTTTTTCAATTTTCATTGGAAATTTAAAATTGGTATTTAAATTAATCCTTTCTTTCCACCGTCATTTTGCAATCATTAAATGTTTAAGAATTTTAGTATAAAATTATAAAATATAAAACTTTGGGGGTCAAATAATGAAAACCAAAAAAGAAAGAAAGATTCATAGCTTAAGAGTTAAGAGTGTTGTTCCCTCTTAAATTTGTTATTAGGGTTTGTTTTTGCCACCCATAAAGCCAATATTCTTTGCCTTTGTGTGACTGTCTTTTTTAATTAAATTTATAAATTTCAAAAAATAAATAAATAATAAAATGGAAAAAAAAGAAAAATGATTAATGGAATAAAACAATACAACTTTCTTATTCCTCTTTTAGATGTAATCTTACCTTCTTTGAAAGTTTATGTGAACACTTGATATAATGCTGTAAAATCTTATATTAGTTGGGGAGGGGAACGAAATTTGTTTTATAAAGGACTGAATATCTTATGTATTAGATGTATTTTAAAACTGTGAGTCCATGTGTGTGGAGAAAGTAGACAATATCGGGTAAGGTTGGTTTGAGATGTTAGAAATGGAATAATTTAGTTAAGTTTAACATGAACAATGATTAATCAAAGTAATATATTGTTGGTTCATATGTGAAATGCTCACAAAACACACTCAACTTGTTCACCATATTATTCCGAATTGATGTTCATAAGAATATATCTTCACAACCATAAGGTCTTCATAAGAATGTGCTCATAGTTGTTCATAAGAATGCGTTCATAACCATAACACGTTCATAAGATAGTGCTCATAACCATAAAGTTTTCGTAGGTGTTCAATAAAAAAATTTCATAGGTGTTCATATGCCATGATCTTTTCCACAAATACTTCTGTTCAAGAATGTTCACCAATGTTTATTTATATTCGGTTTTTCATTTATTATAACTATGTCATGATTAATTTTAATATATAGATTTCAAATATTAAGGGTTAAGATTGATTCACATGATAAACACCAATTATTGGGTTAACAAAAGAACCAACACCTGTGTATATAGGGTTGGGTTCCAGCGAAAGGGGAGGTAATGGTGAGAAATGTTAGAAGAGATTTCCACCCTTGAATCAATCATAACTGAACGCCAACACTAATGAGGTGCACCAAGATGCACCAAATCAGTTTCCTTCTAAAACGAAATTCATTTGTGGGCATTAGATTAAAAGTGATCAAGGGTTCAGATTCCTTCTTACGCTTCTCAACTTAACATTTTTTCTCAAATGATTCTTCGCCTATATATACAGGGTTGGGTTTTGGTGAGAATGGAAGTTATAATTAGAAAGGTAAGAATGGATCTCCACCTTGAAAAAGTGCATACCTCCTGGGATTATGCGTAGTAAATGAAATTTAGGGACCAATTATATAAAAAATTGCATACCACAAGGAACAAATCCATTATTTACTCTATAATATCTTTCATAGATTTTAAGTTGGATAAATTGCATGAAAATGTAACATGCATTAGTTTCATAAATATTTTGAATAACGTACTTCCAAAAGTTTCATTTTGGTATATGAGATGTGAAATCTCAAACTTTTAAATAATTGGTTTACCTATATATCAGGTAACAAATAAATTATAATGACACGTAGTTAAAAAAAATGACGTGAAACCTATAATATAGGAAATATTAAAAGATATTATTTTATTAAAACCCAAATGCCCAATAACAGGGATTTGAGTTGGCGTCCGCAAATTTCATGAATGATCGCTCTTTCTTCTTCAATCAGCGCTTTCGTCTTGCAAATCTTCCCTTGCTCGTCGTCACTGATCTTCTACATCGATGTTATTGTCGTGTTAGGTATGTGAAATCCTTGTATTTCTTCTTCACCAACTCGATATTTCTGTCGTTTTAGAACTTTTTCTAAAAATTCCCCTTTTTGTGTATGTAAGGTTTGAATATGCTAGAAACAGAGATTTCATCGTTTGAAGCAGTACGGTGGTTTCCTATGTCGGATAGAGATTTCAACATTTGAAGGAGTACAGAGTTAGGGATAAAGGGATAGAGATTTCATCATCTTCAGGAAGAGAACAAAGTTGGGATGGTGTTCTTGGTGTATTTGTCAAAAGAAGTAGTTCTTTATCCATATTGAGTTTGGCCAGAAAACCATTTCGATTTCAAGACA